AGGAGACACCCTCTCCTGCCCAGCGCTGGTTGGCTGAGCAGCAGGGCAGGACACGCCTCTCCCAACAGCCTCGGCAAGAGCGGTGTACCCCAGCTCCGATCCCCCGGAACCACTGCTGTAGTTCATAAAGGATTTTTGTATCTTCAGAATGAAAAGCACTAAAATATTAATGTAACAAACCATTGGCTGCTTAAGGTGGTGGTTTAACACATGTCCAGATACAGATTTTTATATGTTTCTTCATCTTTCCTGGGCATTAATAGTGTTAGTTGAAAACTTTATCTTAAAAATCAGACTGGTCTGAAATTCATACAAACACTACCTAAGATGGTGATTATTTTATTACAATTTAAGAAGAGCCTTTTCTTCTATTTGCTTATATTGTACATTTAAAAGTTTTTTTTCCCCCCCATATATGTCACTGTAGTTGATTTCCCCTGTTTAGCAACAGGGAGGAGAAAAAGCTCTACAAATTATAAAGGAAAATGGGTTGTGATATAAATTGACTGGGAGATCTGGAGTCTACATGGGGATAGTCCCTTAAAACTAGTTTTGACTTCAAACTGTATGGTATTTTAAGAGGACAGTGTTCCTTTAACAATTTTTATTATACTAAATGGAGCTGGCATTTTAGAGCAGTGCTTCTCAACCTTTTTTTTTTTTTTTTTAAATAAAGTACCCCCTTTAGAAAAAAAAGTACCCTCAGTACCTACAATGTTCAGATACACAGGTTTTTTTCTACCATTGCAACACATTTGTTTAAACAATTGAATCTTAGCCGGGTGGCTGATGAAATTTTTGCGTGTAAAAAGTACAAAAATAATAAAGCGCTGCAAAACTTAAAACAAAAATTCAGTTTTCTCCAAATTTCAGTTGTGTTGACATACCCCCCAGACTTCTCTCCAGTATCCCTAGGGTACTCGTACCACTGGTTGAGAAACACTGTTTTAGAGAACATGGAAAATCTTGGACTGCGCTCAAATCTGAATAAGAATGTTGCTGTTACCTGTATTTTGGAACACTTCCAGTTTAGAAATAATTACTCCTAAACATTTACTGTGATCAAAGGCATTGTCACTGTATAGGAACAGTCCTGTATATTTTTTTTCTCTTTCTGCAGCGATTGGAAAGAGAATACTCTTGTCCTTGTACCATGGGAAAGCCTAAAGTTGCCTTTAGGGAGAGCATAACAGCACCTGTACTGTAAGTATTCTCCTTATCCAGCATAATACACCAAATTAGCCTAGCATGTTGACATTTTATTATATCTTCATCACACCATTTACATTATAGAGAAGAAATACATAATATTCCTTTTGATTTATTTGGACATGAAGTAAAATACACATGGAAGGAAGAGGGTTTCACTGAGCGAGGATATTGTTCATCTCTGTGTTAGCTGTCTGCTGACATGACTTCCCCATCATCATAGCTTCTATTATTGCCATATTGAATATGCTGCTAGTTCTGCTCTGCATGTTTTGGCTGACAGCTGTTCTTTATTACTTTAACTCCATGCTGTGGATGCCAAAGAACTTGCATTTGCCAAGGAATAATTTCCTGTGGATAAAAAAGATGCATAATGTACTGGAGAAAACTGGAAATTTTCTTAGAACAATATTGAACTAGAATACCTAATTGCTGTTCACGAAACAAAAACAAGTGCAGAATTGTAAAAGAAACAAAAACTGTGCTTTGTACTGCAGTTAGTGAACTAATTCCTTTCAGGACTGTCCCTTCCTGCAGATGGCTAAGGTATGGTATGTGGTGTTGATGAAACTCAACTCTTATGGAAGATACATTGGGTGTCTAAATGGTGGTATTTGGAATGGGTGAGGAATCTCTTGATGTTTGTGGATGATTTTACACTGAATTACAGTATCTAAAGCAGGGGTCAGCAGCCTATGGCTCCTGAGCCAAATATGGCTTAGTAGAGAGCCAAATATGGCTCTTTTGCAGCTCGAGCTCATCCCTCTCCTCCTTCCTCCCGCCCTGGGCTGGTGCTCCATCCTTGCAGCCCCCCACAAAATTGGAGCACTAGTGCTGGCTTCCGTGTCTGGGGAGGGTGGGTGAGAGAGCCACGAGCCTTGCCATCGGGTCCAGCTTGCGGAGAAGAAGCAGAGCAAACAGTGGCTCCGCATGCTGCTGGTTCCAACCCCTCTCACCCAGCTTGGGGAACAACAGTGCACAGATGTGCTTCCTGGAGACTTTCCCCACTGCTCCCATTGGCCAGACTCCGGTCAGTGAGGGCAGCTGGAGGCCATGCCTGGAATGCGGTGCTGCGAGCTGAACGGGGTGGGAATGCAAGTAAGTGCTTCCCCTTCCCTTCATGCCCAGACTCCACACTCCCTCCTTCTACCCCCAGCTTGCTCCTGAGCGCTTCTCCTTGACAAAGCGACAAGGAGTCCTGTAGCACCTTATAGACTAGCAGATGTATTGGAGCATAAGCTTTCGTGGGCAAAGACCCACAAAAGCTTGTGCTCCAATACATCTGTTAGTCTATAAGGTGCAGGACTCCTTGTCACTTTTGCAGATCCAGACTAACACGGCTACCCCTCTGATACTTGTCTCCTTGACCAAATACTCTACCCTCATGGTGCACTGCGTGGTTCACTTGAGGGTTTTTTGTGGGGGAGGGGGGGAGGAGGGTTTTTTTTTTGTGTCTCACTTCTGTGGTCCCTGACTGATTTTTTTTGGTGGGTCATAGAATCATAGAGCTGGAAGAGACCTCCGGAGGTCATCAAGTCCAGCCACCTGCCCAAGGCAGGACCAATCACAACTAAATCAACCCAGCCAGGGCTTTGTCAAGCCGAGACTTAAAAACCTCTATGGATGGAGATTCCACCATCTGCCTAGGTAACCCATTCCAGTGCTTCAACACCCTCCTAGTGAAATAGTTTTTCCTAATATCCAACCTAGAGCTCTCTCACTTTAACTTGAGACCATTGTTCCTCGCTTAGCCATCCGTAACTACTGTGAACAGCCTTTCTCCATCCCAAGTGCAGGACTCTACATTTGTACTTGTTGAACCTCATCAGATTTCTTGTGGCCCAATCCTCTAATCTGTCCAGGTCACTCTGGACCCTATCCCTGCCCTCCAGCATAGCTACCTCTTCCCCCTAGCTTAGTGTCATCTGCGAACTTGCTGAGGGTGCAATCCGTCCCCTCGCCCAGGTCATTAATAAAAATGGTGAACAAAACTGGTTCTAGAACAGATCCTTGGGGCACTCCGCTAGAAACCAACCAGCCAGCCTGACATCGAGCCGTTGATCACTACCCATTGGGCCTGACAATCTAGCCAGTTTTCTATCCATCTTACAGTCCATTTATCCAATCCATATTCCCTTAACTTGCTGGCAAGAATATTGTGGGAGACCATATCAAAAGCTTTGCTAATGTCAAGGTATATCACATCCACTGACTTTCCCATATCCACAGAACCAGTTACCTCATAGAAGCTAATCAGATTAGTCAGGCATGACTTTCCCTTTGTGAATCCATGTTGACTATTCCTGATCACTTTCCCCTCTTCCAAGTGCTTCAAAATGGATTCATTGAGGATCCCCTCCATGATTTTTCCGGGGACTGAGATAAGGCTGACTGGTCTGTAGTTCCCTGGATTGTTCTTCTTCCCTTTTTTAAAGGTGAGCACTACATTTGCCTTTTTCCAATCATCCGGGATCTCTCCCAAGCTCCACAAGTTTTCAAAGATAATGGCCAAAGGCTTCGCAATGACATTTGCCAACTCCCTCAGTACCCTCGGATGCATTAAATCTGGGCCCATGGATTTGTGTATATCTAGCTTTCCTAAATAGTTCCTAACTTGTTCTTTCTCCACCAAGGGCTGTCCACCTCCTTCCCATACTGAATTGCTTAGTGCATTTGTCTGATAGCTGACCTGAAAGCATTGAATACTTCAGCTTTTCCCACGTCATCTGTCACTAGGTTACCTCTCTCATCCAGTAAGGGCCCCACACCCTCTGATCACCCTTTTATTGCTAACATGCCTGTAGAAACCTTTCTTGTTATCCTTCACATCCCTGGCTAGCTGCAATTCCAATTGCGCTTTCACCTTCCTGATAACTCCCCTGCATTCTTGAGCCCCTGACTTAAAAAAAGGTTCCCCACTCCTGACATAAATAAAGACAATGTTGAAACCTTTTGTGTCCAACATCTAGCCATAGCGTGCTGTCCCTGGCACTGATCCTGGGGCAGGCTGTGCGCTCCAGCCCCCATCTGGCCACAGCAGTGTCTGGTGGCAGACTTCCTCCTGCTACAGCATGGGTATGAGGGAAGGCCATAATCTGGCTACGGCAATCCTGGCCCGGCCCCTTGTCCAGCCATTGCTGCCTGGGTGCAGCAGCCCAGCCCTGGCCAGGTAAGGTGATCTGGCCCCAGGGCCCCTCCACATACTCTGTTTCCCACCCTTATTACCCTGCCATGTCTCCTGCACCCCCATATCCACAAACTGCATGCCCAGCAGTAGAAGTCCCATTAAATAAAGTCCTTTATGCTATTATTATTCATCATGTCAATTATCAATAATATGACATTGTATATTTTCAGTCATGCAAATGGGCATTCTTAATACTGGCTCTTTATCGATCACTTGTTCTGAATTTTAATGCAGTTAGGCTCTTTGGTTTGAAAAGGTTGCCAACCCCTGATATAAAGCTTTAAGAGTAGAAGTCCCATTAAATAAAGTCCTTTATGCTATTATTATTCATCATGTCAATTATCAATAATATGACATTGTATATTTTCAGTCATGCAAATGGGCATTCTTAATACTGGCTCTTTATCGATCACTTGTTCTGAATTTTAATGCAGTTAGGCTCTTTGGTTTGAAAAGGTTGCCAACCCCTGATATAAAGCTTTAAG